GTGACTGGTTTATAATGGCGTTCCATCTGTGTGGTTTTTAATGTATCAGAACCCTCACTGCCAGGCGAATCCGCAAAGTACGACTTTCACCGTATTTACAGACCAAGCATAATTTATGACAATGTAATGCCTTCTCATCCAGATGTGTCGAGCTGTGTTTGAAGTGTATTCATATTTGATTATTTTACAAATGATGGGGTTGGCTTTAGACTATATGTAATACTCAGGATCTACTGAAGATGCCAGTGTATAAGCGCTTGAAGACTCAGTTCTGAAAAGAAAAATATACAGCAATGAAAAAATAAACGTTTTGAGGTTGAATTTCCTCTTTCTGGGAAACATCACCCGTTTGGGGCCCTCCTTGTCGGAGTGGACAAGCCCTTTACCTCGTGCAGCGAAGCTCGTGAGTTAGTGTCACGGCTGCGTCGCCCAGTTTACGAGTGCAATTGTTACAGAGTTCCATTTGGATAGTCGTGGGATCTATGAAGTTCGTGCTTTGTGCGAGGCTTTATTCAGGTGGCTAGCCGGTCTAAAGAAAGAGATCAAGCCAGATAGGATAAAACCAGGCGCAATGAAGTCGATCCTCTGGACTTTAACTTTAAACTATTGTCTAACACCATTTTACTGGATGCCCATGGAGCCCGGAAAAGACACTTATTTGACTTCTTCTTTTGCGTTGTTGTAGTTTCATATCTGAGGACTGCTTCTGGCCTGTCCTTAATGGACCAGCTAGTGAGCGACGGAGGTGCTTCTTCTTCTTCTTTACGTTCACCAGTTGTAAACTTCAAAGAAACGTTCAGCTGGTTCGTCCGTTTCTGGACTTAAGCCTTGTTCCAAAGCTCCCGTTTTGTGTGCTGATCCATTTTATACATCCGGCTTTAATTGTATGCAGACTGTTGGGTCATCCCCACTCCAACTTAGAAGAAAGAAATCACAAATTAGTTGCCTTTTACAACATGCTTTTGGGGCTTGGTTTTGAGGGTCTTCCCCCTCCCCTCCGACCCTAAAATTGGGCCCCAGACTCCATAAAGAAATTATGGGGTAATACAATGTGCGGTATTAAAGCAAGGGTCATGAAAAGTTTTCATACCAAACGAAAAGTACAACAGCCAGTCCACATCACATTTTAACCACACACAAAAAAAATGGCAAGATAAAGTTGCAGCTAGAAGCCTTCATCACTGCACACATAAATCTGAGATACTCACTGTAGAGTGCTGTAAGACTCGATTTCTGGCAACTTTTCCACTTCCTGACCTTCTTCTACAGGAGGACGGGGTGGTGGTGGAGGGCGACGAGCTCGTTTTACTGGGAACATAAGTTCGAACAATGTACTATAAATATCGTCTTCGCTGCATAAAATCTTTTTCCTTGCTTCCTTGCTTCCTTGCTTCCTTCCTTCCTTCCTTCCTTCCTTCCTTCCTTCCTTCCTTCCTTCCTTCCTTCCTTCCTTCCTTCCTTCCTTCCTTCCTTCCTTCCTCCTTCCTTCCTTCCTCCCTCCCTTCCTTTCCCTTCCTTCCTTCCTTCCTTCCTTCCTTCCTTCCTTCCTTCCTTCCTTCCTTCCTTCCTTCCTTCCTTCCTTCCTTCCTTCCTTCCTTCCTTCCTTCCTTCCTTCCTTCCTTCCTTCCTCCCTCCCTCCCTCCCTCCCTCCCTCCCTCCCTCCCTCCCTTCCTTCCTTCCTTCCTTTCCTCATTTCATTCTTTCTTTCGTTCTTTCTTTTTTTCACTCTTTTTTTATCATCATCATCTTCTTCTTCTTCTACTACTTCTTCTTCTTCTTCTTCTTCTTCTTCTTCTTCTTCTTCTTCTTCTTCTTCTTCTTCTTCTTCTTCTTCTTCTTCTTCTTCTTCTTCTTCTTCATCCTCTTCTTCTTCTTTTTCTTCTTCTTTTTCTTCTTCTTCTTTCTACTCCTCCTCATCCTCCACCACCACCACTACCACTACTATTGTCACTGCTACGTTCGATCTTTAAAAAACTATTTGACACTTTGTCTGGTGATTAACAGCCAGACTGCAAAATCAGCCATTTTTGGCGCAAAACAAATAATTTCAGCCTACCTCAGATTAGTCGCCCCCCACCCCCCCCCCCCCCCCCCCAACATGATTGTATGCGGGCGGTGTGTTTATTCTAACGAGTCGTCTATAAAACTACATCTCCGCGGCTTCCAGATTCGTTTTCACTAATCACTTGTGTGCTCTGCCAACCAGCGTAGGCGCTCATGTGTCTCCACAGATCACGATCCCCGATTGCCTGTAACAGATCCCTTGATGATATCCCTCCATGCCATCGTTTCAGCCCATCCAGCACCATCTCTTTTTGTCTGCCCCTACCCCTTTTTCCACTGAACTTGTCAGTTGTCACCATGTTCTTTAATGTCTCTCTTCTGGCCAAAGATCAGTGTTCATGATATCAGCTGGACTGAAATTACTGTTTTCTCCCTTGTGGCATTTCCCTGAATTCTGAAAAAGTGGGGGAGGGGGGGGGGGAAGCGTGGGGATGGTGTGACTGACATGACAAGGCGATCTGTTACCACTATAAGTTAAGTTCCCACTCCACACTCACCTTTCCGACCTCTGTTGGTAGTCCACACTTCACAAACGAAGAGACTAAAGCCTGTAATAATAATGACAGCTCCAACGATGAACAGAAGGATCTTCGATATTGAAAAGGGGCGACTCCTATCTGTGAACAGGCCAGCATTTCAACATTCGGACACAACATTACATAATAAATATAATATTGAATGTTAAATGTTGAATCAACAATCGACATCACAGCACTCAGAGACTTCCCATAAGCGATGCATCCCTATCTACAGAAGCAAGCAAAGAGTTCCAATTCCGACGGCACAAGTAACTTTTTGCTTGTATATGCGTCTCGCCTTTCCCTTGAGTGTTGAGCGTCTGACAAATCCCCTGGTAACTCCTCGTAAAGCCGCACTCCTCAGAGCGTAATGATCTATGTATGTCTCGGCGCTGTTCACGTGGTCATCACAACATCTAGCTTGTCATACATCAATTCACCAAGATGTACTGAAATCTATATTTTAAAAAATGTTAATTTTCCGATGTTGTTAGTTAAAAACTCGGAAACTACTGAACCGATTGCTTTCAAATTTGCCCACAACGTTGCCTTTGACTCCAAGCGTGATATTTTGTCAGAAAATCCCACATACCACGAACGACGTAGCTCCAGCAACAGTCAAATCATTTTTTGGTTTCGTTGCCGGCCCGGATTAGTTTTTAGTTTATTGGCCGTATTTGACTGCTGAGCTCTTATTGAACTTTACCTTATTATATAATTTCATTTCCACTATTTGTTTGAGTGTTTGGTAGCGTAGTTGGTAGTTATTCAGCCTATCATGCAGATGACCCGCGTTTGTTTCCCCAGTAATTTTTTTAGCCCCTAACTGGGCGGCTGCCACGTTGTGTTGTAGTTTATGGCTAGGCTGCGATATCTATGCCTTTTTCGGTTTGGGGTTTACAGCTAGTGATGCTCAATAGTCATGTCACGGGTAATCTTCGTTCGCCCTCGAGAGGGCCGTTGGCAGGTTGTGTTGTGGTTTACAGCTGGGCTGCGATATCTGACCTAAACTCTTCAGTCGTCGGTAGTATAATTGTAAGTATGTCATCCTTCACGCGGGTGACCGGTGTTCGATTCCCCGCTAGGTGATAATTGTTCTTTTTCCCTTAAAGGGGTGGTTGCCACGTTATGTTGTGGTTTTCAGCTAGACTGCGATATCTGCGCCTTTCGCCCAAAGACATCCCATTGCATTTAAGTCCTAATTAGCCTCCACGCGACGCTTCTCGATCAAAAACTATTCGGCGATGTCAGAAACTGTTAACTAAGACGGCTTACAGTCCTGTTTAGTTTGGGTGGACACGGATGCCAAGGTCAGTTAAAAATCGTTCCCTCGGAGAGATGACGGGTGCGGGGTATTTTTTCTCCGCTATTCGTGAGTATATTGTACTTTTTACTGTGGGTTCCATTAATGGTTACGTGATGAAGTTTTTTTTTTCTATGTCTGGGGAAACATCAAACTAAATAGTCCGTGGCGACAGCATGCGGCGCTAAGTCCTCTTTTCTACACCAACCTACACAGACTGTAGTGACAGTTTTTGTTGTTGTTGTTGTTGTTGTTGTTGTGATGGTGGTGGTGGTTGTGGTTGCAGTAGTACTGGTACTGGATGGGTGATGTGGTAGCTGCTACACTGGCTACATTTACTTCTCTGTACAAGTTAGTGCTACCTATTTAAGTCTGGATGCAAAGCTCAATTTAGTTACAATATTTCGTTACACGGTGACTTTCCCATCCTTCGGAGAAGATGATATGATTGGGGGAGCTTGAAATATTATTTTAAAGTTCTCATTTCTTAACTGTTTTTATTTTAATAATTTTGCCAGGTGATGATTTTTCAATCCTTATGAGAGGGAGAGATGATTGTTGGAGGGGGGGGAGGGGTGGATAGGACAGACACAGTTAGCTGAGAGAGCTTAAAATATTGGGTTAATGACTACGATGATGAATATCATTATGATGTTGATGACGACGATGATGAATATCATTATGATGTTGATGACGACGATGATGCATATTATTATGATGACGATGAGGATGATAAATATCATCATGACGTTGATGACGATGATGATGATGAATATCATCTTGATGTTGATGACGACGATGGTGAATATCATCCTGATACTGATGACGACGATGATAATGATGATGATGATGATGAGGACGATGATGATGATACAGATGGTGATGATAATGTTGATGATGATGATGATGATGATGATGATCAGGATGACCAGGATGATGATGAATATCATCATGATGCTGATGACGATGACGATGTTGATGATGATGACAATGATAAGGATGATGATGAATATCATCATGATTCTTACAACGATGCTGATAATGTTCATGTTGATGATGCTACTAATGATGATGATGCTGATGCTGCTGCTGATAATGATGATGTCTGCAATAGCTACTTACCCTCGACATCCAGCAGTACCACATTGGTGTTTACCTCTACCGTCTCATAAGGCGTGTAGAGCACTATACTGTAGACTCCTCCTATGGTGAAGAACTCGTCCTTTGAGAGGTGGCAAGTGTCAATGTACGCCGCCATGGTCAAAGTGTTGAAATACACATAGGGCGGGGCCTTTCCTCCTTGGATCTCCTTACTTCTGAACTTCCATCTGAAGGACAACGAGAAGTATTACCCGTACGTGTTTATAAACGGGATTCACTGTGGTGTAGTGACTAGTCACTCGCCTGTCGATCGGATGAATTGGAAGGTCGTGGGTTAAGGTCCTCACCGTATGGAGCTTTCTTCAGAAATGGCCTTTGCTCCTAGGTCGACCCAGCCTTGAGTGGTGGGTACAAGGTGCAGTCCTGGGAAATAAAGGCGGCGGGCTTGATGTTGACAACATCACCAACCATGTGCCGATTGATCTATAAAAAATAGGCCTAGCCTAAAGGTGTGAAAACTGGTATTGCCCTTACTTTTACTTACTTACTTCTATGGTAATAAACTGATATAAGTATCACTAGCAACACCGCAGTCGCACCCAACACCTTCATTACTAACCGTCAACACTAACATAACCACCTCCACCTTTGTCATCATCATATACATCACGCTCAACACCATCACTTTAATAACTACCATCATCATCATCATCATCATCATCATCATCATCATCATCATCATCATCATCATCATCATCATCATCATCATCATCATCATCGGCGCCACATTCACTATATCGCCAAAATCACCAAAGTCAACTTCACCACTGTCACCAACCTGTCATCACTAACATAACCACCTCCACCTTTGTCATCATCATCATTTACATCACATGCAACACCGTCACTTGTATCACCACCATCATCATCATCATCATCGCCGCCACATTCATTATATCACTAACATCACCAAAGTCATCTTGGCCACTGTCACCATAATCAACACCACTATTTTCATCATCACGACCAACATCAATATCATTAACACAACCGCCATTAACATCGTCCCCATTATCATCACCAAAATTATTATCATCATATATGCCCCAAACCACTGGAGGCGTGGACTAGGGTCCTTGACCTACCGATATCGTAATGGCGTCGATCCGTTTGTAGTTGCGGTGACTGTCAGCTCGACAATATCCCTATAGCGTATCTCTTGCTTCAGCGGAGGCCTTTTCATCACTAGGATCGGATCTTCAGATAGATCAATCAAGTTTAGTTTCATAAACACGTGTGCTGTCACAAACACAGAGCCTCACACCAGGCACTACACACGATTCGACAAACACGCATACGCACACACATACATATACATTTCTTCTTTTTCTGTTATCTACTCCCGGAAAGCCTCGCGATCTTCTACCTGTGATCTTTGTATTAGGTACTTTTCAGTATATCTGATATCTGATATTTAGTATATCTGATATTTTTGCTTTCCATATTCTGCATGGTCGACCTTTAGCTCTGTTACGGCTGTGTCTATATAAAATTGTTCTCTGTTGTACCCTCAGTGCTCGCAGACAATGAAGAGAGACACTCACTTACATACATATAGGACCCTTTCCTGTGTCCATAGACTCAGCTGGTGATATGGTCGACATTATGCCAGCCACATTTACTACCCTCACCCCAATTTCAGAATTTCTCGATATGTTCGACATTATGACAGCCACATTTACTACCCTTACCCCCATTTCAGAATTTCTCTATATGTTCGACATTATGACAGCCACATTTACTACCCTAACCCAAATTTCAGAGTGGCTAGATATTGTCGACATTATGCCAGCCACCTTTGCTACCCTTACCTCCATTTCAGAGTGGCTGGATATGGTCGACATTATGACAACCACATTTACTACCCTTACCCCCATTTCAGAGTGGCTGGATATGGTCGGCACTATGACAGCCACATGTACTTTTCTTGAACTCAATTTAGAGCTGGTCAAAAAAGGAAACGATATCATTTTCGAAAACAATTCAGCTTTATCCGGATTTGAAACCATGAACTTCGGGTTTGCAGGCGTCTAGTCGCTATATCCTGACGGCTCAGGGCTACAACTGGTACACACTTAAGGCTGGTCGACCTAAGGGGCCACAGCCATTTTTGGAAGAAAAAAATATCTGGCTCCTTCAGGACTCGACCCCATGACCTTCCGAACCGTAGTCGAGCGTCTAGCACTACAGCACAGAGGTCCCCCAGTAGTAGTATTAGTAGTAGTAGTAGTAGTAGTAGTAGTAGTAGTAGTAGTAGTAGTAGTAGTAGTAGTAGTAGTAGTAGTAGTAGTAGTAGTAGTAGTAGTAGTAGTAGTAGTAGTAGTAGTAGTAGTAGAAGTAGAAGTAGTAGTAGCAATAGTAGTAGGAGTAGTAGTAGTAGTTCATTCATTCATTCAGTAGCATGTCCCTCGCGGAACCTCGCTGCCATAACAACACTCCGGAAAACCTTCCTATCCTGAGCAAGATGTCCTGCGTCTGATACACCCATCTGGAGATCATCTGCCACATCCTGCACCCATCTTCTCCTTGGCCTTCCTCTTCCTCTCTTCCCAGGCATATACCCCTCCATTATTGTTCTCTCTAGACTTCCATGACGTTTCAAGTGACCAAAATATTTCAATTTTCTTTGTTTTATTGTCTTTACTAGCCAACCCTCTTCAATATTCAGCTCTTGAAGTATAGTAGTAGTAGCAGTAGTAGTAGTAATAATAATAGTAGTAGTAGTAGAAATAGTAGTAGTAGTAGTAGTAGTAGTAGTAGTAGTAGTAGTAGTAGTAGTATTAGAAGTAGTAGTAATAGTAGTAGTAGTAGTAGTAGTAGTAGTAGTAATAGTAATAGTAGTAGTAGTAGTTGTACTGGTGCTAGTAGTAGTAGTTGTAGTAGTAGTAGTAGTAGTTGTTGTTGTTGTTGTCGTCGTTGTAGTAGTAATAGTAGTAGTAGTAGTAGTAGTAGTAGTAGTAGTAGTAGTAGTAGTAGTAGTAGTAGTAGTAGTAGTAGTAGTAGTAGTAGTTCTAGTAAAGAAGCAGCAGCAGTAGTAGTAATAGTAGCAGTAGGTCTTAGTAGTAGTAGTTGTTGTTTTTGTTGTAGGAGCAAAAACAGCAGCAGTAATAATAGTAGTAAAAGTAGTAGTAGCCGCAGCAGCAGAAGGAATAAGAGTTAGAAAAAAGGAAACCGAAGGTAGAAAGATACACTTTACGCTGGTCTCCTCATTTACACACAGCTACATGCTAGTTCGCTTCTGATTGGATGACCTACATACTACCTCACTTATGATAGATAAGTCGGTCTCAAACGATTCGACTTTCACACAAGGCCACGGGGATATTCAGTAACTCGCGCTGATATCGCGTGTTGTATATCTCACCATGCCAGAGCTTTTAACACTTCTAAAACTTTTAGATACTAGGTCTAACACACAACCACCAGAAATTGACAAAACCTTTGTCACAGACCGTCTCTTTCTCGGAAAAACACGTAAATGCAAGACAACAACAGACTGCGACACTCATAACCTCGACCACGGTAGACTAGTCCAACCAACTTTTCAATGGAGTTGACCTACAACCGGTAGTGAGTAAATGAGGAGACCATCGTATAAATAACCGATAGATAAGAAGTCGACAACAAAGTAGAAAATCAAGAGACATCTGAAATCTAAAATTAGCAGTACGGATTTCTCAAGCGGGTTAGGATACCTACTAATTAATTCAACAAGGCAGGTATTAGCAGAAGCTATGTCCACACTGTTGGACACATCGCACTGAACACACACGAAGTCCTCAGGTCCTCGCACATTCTTCAGGATTAATGTTTTATAGTTATTGGCAAACGTGAATCTGGAGTCTGCTGAAAGAGAGTTAACATTGTAATTAGTTGAAGGCTATCTAAAGGCAGGAATTAATGTGGGTGTTAGATGCTTGAACTAAATGAAAGAGAATTGTGTGTTGCAATTTGGGGCGAGGAAAAAACTTGTAAAACATTTTATAATTTTTCATGGGCGGTGAGAGAGAGGGGTGGCGGCTCAATTCGTAAAGATGGTAGTAGTAGTAATAATAATAATAACAATAAAATAACAATAATAATATACAGCAAAATCAATATCGGAATAGGAATGGCAGCAACAACAAAGAGCAAATTAAACAAAATAATTTAGGAGAATAGAAAACTCACGATTATCTGCACCAGGAGAAACGGGTAAACAGCTTTCACATGCCATGACCAAAAAGAACACTTGTAACTTTTTTATTAGCCGACCACAAACCGGATAAATCCACAGATCACGGGACAGTCAAATATGTTAGGGTATGGTTATGAGGACACATCCATAGGCGTTCAGATTCTCCTGTAAACATATTCATCAGCGTCGCGCGGTTTATAGTGCCAGTTCTATGTTGGTTAACAAGACTTCGTGTGAGTCCGGTGTGCTTCTCATGCTTGGCTGTACTGACTTTAACTCCCAATTTTCGTATTCTTTGCAGTGATGTGGACACGTTGCTTCCAAAATCCTCAGAACGTCCTATCTCTTTAAGGTCAATGACAATGTCTGTGTGATCCATGGGCCGGCCATCTTCAATTAATGCAGCACCTGACAGTCTATCAGCTCTTTCATTACCAACAACGCCTGCATTCCATTGGACGTATATGAAGGTAACAACACACACAGGGGAGTTTTGCAATAACTTAAACCACTGTCTGCGTAACCAGTCTGCCTCGACCAGCCGGATCATGCTGGATTCTGCTCCCGACGACTCCTATCAAGCGTCACGGCACAGGAGAATCTGAGACTTTGTGCTTTAGACGCTGGTATCCATTCTTCACCTGAATGGGTATCTGTAAGGCTGTAAACATGATGTCATCCTCTGCCCTACCCAGCCATGATTTGCCCCTTTTAAGCCTATTGCCCTTTTTCTTGCAGAGCATGTGGTGCAAAGTGTGCTTCAGATCTGAGCTTTTTTTAAGGTATACACGAGCCCACCAGATAGAGAGGGACTATTAAGCTTATAGTTTTGTTTGGAGTTAGGGTTAGAGTTAGGCAAACGCACAAAAACCTTGGCTTTTGGATAAACGCGCTAAAAAAAGAAAAAACACATAAATCCCGCTCTTATCACCCTCTTAAATGTTGGACTGTCCCGTGACGTAAATTGTGGTAGGCTTACAATAAGCTATTGGCGTTAGGTGGCAGGAGAAGACCACAAACACTGCGGTATTGGAGAGAGAAGGTATTACAATGCATAGTTTACACAGGCTCAGATGGCTGGGTCACACCTCTAGAATGGAGGATGGCAGTCTCTAAAAAAAAACACATCATCGATGGTGAAAAAAAGACGGGTAGAAGATGTCAAAGCAGATAACACAAGAGAAACCAGACAACAGTATGATGTGTCTATGATCGAGGTGACCAGAAGAGCAAGAAGCAGAACCTCACATCTCCTCGTCTATGCCATTCTCTAGTGCAGACCAGATGTCAGAGTATGAACTTACCAATTTGTCTTTGCAATCGTTTGCTGTTCAAAAACCAGACAGGGTTTTCAGGATTAGTCTCCCCTTCCGCCGAACGCGTATCACAAGTGAAAAGATGTGCCTTTGTTAAAACTGCTTTTGTTAAACGTGGAGGTGGTTTAATGAAGATTGGGCCTGCTGGTAACAAATAATAGTAATTGTATTATGGATTTCAAAAGCTGGTTCCATAGCCCTATTTTATGGAGAAGGGCTAGGTGGCAATGCTGGGAGATAGGAACCACTCCCCTTTCGTTCCCAATGTATCATGCATGTCGCAAAAGGGCAATTAATTAGGGCTTTATTGAAATCGGGTATGAATATGAAAGAAGCAGATATGGCGACTTTTTCCTCTTCTTTTATTTGTTCTCCTTGCCAGGGTTTTTCAGCTGAGAAGGCCGCGGAACTAGGACATTTATGACGCGACGCATTTCTTTCTCTGTCTATTGAGCTTATTTTCATTGGACTACAAACGGACCAAACAGAGCATGTCTGTAGAACATGCTCAGTATTCTGTGGGGCCTGTCCACTTGGACACAGATGGTTCTGGCGCCATGGACAACGATACGACAGCAGGCATGCTTGAGGGGTGGGGGAGGGGGCAAAATAGAACACATTTATGGACCACAACAGTCTCTTATTCAATAACGGATGTTGTGACTAACGGCTGCTTTCTGACATTTCATAAACATGGTCGGGACAATCCCAAAAGCGCTTCATCCCCATCTTAAGCAGCAAGCGAAGAGTTCCAATTCCGATGGCAGCAGTAAATGTCTGATTGTACATCCGTCTTGCGTTTGCCTTAAGTGTTCAGCATCATTTTCCTCAGACCGTAAAGATCTATAAGTACCATTCGCACAGTTCACTCGTTTCCACAGTGTCATGAGCTTGTCATACATCAATTCACCACCAAACGGTTCCTAACCGGCCAGTCTATCTGCCGGCTCATTTCTCAACACACTGGCATAACCTGGAGAAAATATCCACAGGATGCTAACTGGCCAGGTCGAAATACGGTGGTGACTGCAGTCAAGCTTATACACGGAATTCCAGAAAAAAAAAAAATCAATACTACTGTTTATTATTTTTGTGTGACTATATTTAATTACCATCGTTTATTCAATTTTTTTTTTTTTTCATTTATTCCACATCGCATTTTGTTAAACGTCGCTCACGTCACCCCTTAGAGATCTACATACTCTCCATTCCTCGTTTGTGTAGTCCACTTATGTTTGAAAAAGGCTGCCCGGCCGAAACGTTACGTTGTGTTGTTTTGTTCACGTTTTTCAGCTTCCCCATTTTGTTGAGCTTTTAAGTCAAATTTTTTTTTTGGAATAACTGGCCAGGTCCCATGAAGTGATGCAAGTAAAAAATTTTGAACTGACCAAAAAATTCAAAACAATATTTTCCCGTTGTAAATGTAAACAATACGGATATTCACAGTACATAGCACACTTCATTGCCTGGTAAACTTCACTGTATCTGGTCCGGTGTATTACTGCAGGGTTAAATCAATGTATAATGAAGCACAAAAAGAATCCTTTTCTTGCTGAAATCCATAAACTACATCGTCGAGTTGCTGTACATATATACGACGGAAATTAAAAATCAGCGAAACAGACACACATGCGCACACAAACACATACGCACGCATTATCAGCCATTGTATTTGCCAGAATAAAACCAGATAACAGTTATAACAAAAAGCTTCTTGGAGCTGGTTAAACTGGCAGACTGCGTCTTCTTCCTAGGGGCAATGTTGTTTTATATGGCTCTGGAAAATTAGAGCACAACTAAAAGAGATCAAGCCCTCTTAGAAACGTTTCAAACTGAGTCTGGCGATGAATCTTTTATCACATGCAAACAGTGGGGAATGGAGAGGAAGAAGCAACAAAGCTCGTAATGTGTTCAAAATCATCTTTGATCACTGGCATACATGTTACATGTTTTGAGGCCCT